TGGAGCAACTGCTCCAGGAAATTATGATGCATGCTAATGTGTGGGGACCGCTGAATAAGCACCATAATACTAATGTAAAATTAAAATACTTTATCCACCAAAACGTTATATATTTAAAAATTAATGTAATGTATTCTATGTATTCTCTGGTATATACTAACCATAACAGAAACATATATAATGGCAAGAGGGAGAAAAAAAATAGAGTTCACAGATAAGAAAAAAAGTAAAACAGCAGAGAGGGACTAGTAATAAATGTGTCATGACCTGAAGAGCTTGATTAATTCAACTGCGATTTTCCCACCTCCCAAAAAAGAAAGACTTTAAAATTCTAAATCCAGGTACTTCTCAATAAACCTAATGTAAGTAACTGACATCTCTTGCCCATGCTTACTGGATTCAATTCCTAACTGGCCTCCCTCCCTGTACCCACTCTTAGGCTTCCATTCAGTTTACCACTAAACAACCAGAATAACTGTTTTGTTTTGTTTGTTTGTTTCAGAGAGAGAGGGGAGGGGGAGAGGCAGAGGGAGAGTGAGAATCTTAAGCAGGATCCATGCCCAAGAGGAGCCTGACATGGGGCTCAGCTAACTCTCTCACAACCCTGAGATCATGACCTGAGCCGAATTCAAGAGTCAGATGCTTAACCAACAGAGCCACCCAGGTGCCCTCAGAGAAACTGTTTTAAAACATAAATACAAATATATCATTCCCTAGCTCCAATCTCCAGTGGCTTCCTACCACATTCAGAATCAAACCCAAACTCCTTACTATGGTTTGCGAAGCCTGACATCATCTAACCCCTGCCTATCTCTCTGATACATTGCCTACAACTTCCCCTTACTCATTATTCCATCTAGCCGAACTGGCTTTGTTACTATTCGTGGACTGCATTAGGCTAGCTCCAACCTCAGTACCTTTACACTTCATAGGTCCTCTGCAGGAATGTACTCACCCCTCCCCCGACCCCCACCCCCAAAGGCATGGCTCATTCCCTCAGGTCTTTAAAGTTTCTCAAATAGGCCTTCCCTAATCTCCATCTAAATTAGCTATCCTTGATGCTCTTTTAGCCCCTTACCCTGACTTTTCACAGGCATAAACAAATACAGGACGCTGTCCCTTCAACAGAAAACCCAGTACAGGACTTGGCTTTGCTTATTCATCTCCATCCCCAGAATTTAACAGTGTTTCTCAACAGAAGCACTACTGACAATTTGAAAAGCATGGTTCTTTGTTGTTTAGGAGTTTCCTGCATATTGGATGATGTGTGTTTCCCTGGAACCCAGCTCATTAAATACCAGTAGAACCTCTCAAGTATTGTGACAAACTATTCATTCGTATGTCTGTACATAATTATGTGTACATCTGCAGTATTTCTCAAAAATGGAACTGTTGGATCAAAATATATGTACATTTTGAGACAGACACTGCAAAACAAACATGAAACTTAAATACGTAGACACATACAAATATACTTAGATGACTTTTTTCTTTTTTTTGGTTGACTTTTGTTTTTGACATATCAACCTACACAGAATATTCCAAAGAAAAAGTACATTAAATTCTAAATGAAATAAATCAGGCTGAGAAAAACAAAGACCATATGATTTCATTTCTGTGTGGAATCCAACACAAAGCAATGGAATAAACAAACAAACATACAAAAAGCAGAATCATACCTATAAATACAAAGAACATACTGACGGCTGCCAGAGGGGAACACACAGATGGTTGTGGGGGGCTCCCAAAATGGGTGAAAGGAAGTAGGAGGTATACGCTTCTAGTTATTGAATAAGTCATAGAAACAAGAGATACAGCATAGGGAACAGTCAAGATTATGGTAAAGATTATGGCAGCTACACTTGTGGTGAGCATAGACTTATAAACTTGTTGAATCACTACGTTGTACACTTGAAACTAATACAACATTGTGTGTTAACTACACTCAAAAAAAGGACATTAAATTCATATATAAACTTAAAAAGCACATTCTCTTTTTCTCTATTTCCCAGCGAAGAACATGAAATATCTTTTTATTTAACAAGGTCTTTGTTTCTGACTCCTGAAAAGACCAAGTCACCTTTTTGAAGTAATGAGATATATAAAAGCAAAATTCATATCCATATTTCAGTGTAATTTGGTTGATGCACTTCTTGGCCTCTAATCTGAAGTTTTATTTCCTTATATATGCAATTGCACAATTACCTTGTATAATTCAATTATAGGCTCATGATTTTTTTAAAAATATTTTATTTATTTGAGAAAGCAAGCATGAACAGCGTGGAGGATCAGAGGAAGAGAGAGAAGCAGACTCCCCGCTGAGCAGGGAGCCCAATGTGGGGGGGTTGATCCCAGGACCCTGGGATCATGACCCGAGCTGAAGGCAGCCGGTTAACCAATTTAGCCACCCAGGCCCCCCTACAGGCTCATGATTATCAGATTTGTTCAGACACTCAAAAATCACTTCTTTATTTCAGTGTGAACAGAATTTGTACTCCACTTCAACAATCCTTTCTGTATGGCAACAATTATTCATTAGCTGTCAACATGTCAACAATTGATCATCAAATAACATTTACATCACCTAGACATCTAAGAACATTTTCTCTTTGGTAATGCCTGTACATTTAGTATAACATATCCTATGCTATATTATTGACTATATTTTCTGTGATATACATTTCATCCCTGTGACTTATTTATCTTACAACTGGAACTCTGTATCTCTTAATCCCCTCTACCTATTTTACCCAACTCCCTACATCCCACCACTCTGACAACCACCAGTTTGTTCTCTGTGTTTATAAGTCTGCTTCTGTTTTGTTTGTTCATTTGTTTTGTAGATTCCACATATAAGTGAAATCATATACTATCTGTCCTTGTCTTGTTTCATTTAGCATAATATCCTCTAGGTCCATCCATGTTGTTGCAAATGGGCACATTTCATTCTCTCTTATGTTGGAGTAATATTCTATTATATCTGGTATATATATATACAGACCACATTTTCTTTATCCATTCATCTACTGATGGACACTTAGGTTACTTGGAATAGAGAAACATTTCAATGATACAGTCTGCAGGTATCATCTCCACCCATCCCAGATACATACTTAAGAGACCTTGGAAATTTACTGAGCAGCAGGGAAACAATTATTTTCTTAGCTTCTACAACTAATTTGTGTCCTCATAGATGACACTAAATTAATCTGAGGCTCTGGCAGGTAACACTGAACTCTTCTGATTCATGAATTTAGACTACTCATCTAACAGAAGAGGACAATCTATTTCTCCTGTATATTTTTCTGGCAGCTTTAGAATAACTGCTGCTTCTTTGAATGAGTACTAGGTAAGATAGCTGATTTGGATCTAGGAGTGATGCTGCACATACAGTAAGTCTTTAGCCACTAGAAACTAAGTACAGTGAGACTATCACACTATGAGGGAGAAGCAGAACTAAAGACTACAAGAACAGCAAGCAGACTCAATTTCTCATCTCAAACTTATTCTGGACACATTATAAATTTAGTTACCTGCACTATTCAAAAGTTACTTCTCTTTTATTTGCGAAGCACATATAGCTGAATCAATGGACATTAAACATGAATGTGCTTTGGTTCCACTGTACTCAAGTCTTTGCATTAGGTTCTAAAATAGTTTTATCTTTTATACACAATAGCTTGAATTCTTTTTTATTTTATTTTATTTTATTTATTTATTTGACAGAGAGATAGAGATCACAAGTAGGCAGAGAGGCAGGCAGAGAGAGAGGGGGAAGCAGGCTCCCCACTGAGCAGGGAGCCCGATGCGGGGCTCGATCCCAGGACCCTGAGTTCACGACCGGAGCCGAAGGCAGAGGCTTAACCCACTGAGCCACCCAGGCGCCCCGAATTTTTTTTCTTAAAAAAAAAAAAATTTCATTTATTTATTTGAGAGAGAGAAAGAGAAAGAGCAGGGGGAGGAGCAAAGGGAGAGGGAAAGAGAGAATTCCAAGCAGGGCTCCAGAGTGCAGCCCGACATGAGGTTCGACCTCACAATGCTGAGATCATGATCTGGGTTGAAATCAACAATCGAATGCTTAACAAACGGAGCCACCCAGGTGCCCCTACTTTATTTTAATTCTAATTATTTTTCCTCATCATTCAATTTTCCAAATATATTTAAGTAAATTGTAAGTTTCCATTAACTTCATTAACTTTAATCATTTTTTCCTTTAATGAACAATGATTAACTGCTTACTATGTGCAACAATATAAAAAATTATTCCTATGATAAGCTAAGTGCCTGCTTATTTAGCATCGGGCGTTAATCTAAAAGTAAAGGGTGTTAATCTAAAAGTAAGTCGTAGGGGCGCCTGGGTGGCTCAATGGGTTAAAGCCTCTGCCCTCGGCTCTGGTCGTGATCCCAGGGTCCTGGGATTGAGCCCCACGTCCGGCTCTCTGCTTGGCAGGGAGCCTGCTTCCTCCTTTCTCTGTGCCTGCCTCTCTGCCTACTTGTGATCTCTGTCTGTCAAATAAATAAATAAAATCTTCAAAAAAAAAAAATTTGTTCTAGAGATTGCCATGACATTTAGTATCCTTTTTTAAATAAATAAATAAATAAAAGCAAATCACAGCTCAGCAACTTATGGTTTTATAATTAAGATCGGCTAATTCAAACCCTGTTTAGGGTGAATAGCCATTTATGTCATTTATACACAGCCTATACACTATCTTCAAGAGGAAAGGTTGGTAAGCATTTAACTTATTTGCAAAGCTGGGTTAATACAGCTTTCTATATGTCTACAGCTTTCTATATGTCTACTACATACAGAAGCTACAAGAAGGAATAGATCTTTCTTCTATAAATGAATACATTTCTTTAACACTTTAATACTGGAAGTATTGAAGTTTACAAATTCTGCCAGTGCTCTCATTTTAATTTCTTCTACTAAAGAAAGGAAAGCAAATTTCTAAAAAAAGACAATATGATCGTTCCAACGTATCCAGTTTAATTTTTACCTCTATACTGAAATAGCCTCTGTCCACATAATCACCCAGAAAGAGATAGCGTGTGTTACTAGGTGATCCTCCAACTTCAAACAACTTCATCAGGTCAAAGAATTGTCCATGAATGTCACCACACACTAGGGAAAAAAGGACACAAAGTGAGATGAAAAATTATGTCTTATAAGAGAAATGGCAATACACCAATAAGATCACAGTTTAGCTTTTAAATCACATAAGCTTTTGACTGGAATGTTCTATAATTGTGGTCAATCTATCAATACTGAATAGTCCTACTGAAAATACTAGGTATTTTAAATTTTATTTCTTTGATGAATAACAAACATACTGAATAATCCTAAGACTATCTCATAATTCCTAGAAATATTATCACATACCTTAGTTGGTTATTTGTAATCATTTTTCAAATTAGCTCAAATCTAAGTGCCACCATGCAATTACTTCACATACCTGTGATTGGAGCCTCTACTTCTATCATGGTCTTCTCTTGTCTCAGGATGGCAGCCCCATCATTGATTATCTTTAAGGCTACTTCCTCTTCCAGTCGCCCTTCCTTCACTAAATGGTTTTTCAAAATATCAATTTTAGGTTTCCCATTCTCAAATACTTCCTTCAAAGTAAGCCGTTGGGTTGGAGGAAAGGGAACAGCTAGGAGGAGAGAAAAAGTAATTTAAAATACTTAAATGTACAGAGAACCATGACCCCATTTCTTTATGCAACAAATTAAACCTAATACATCACTATGATCTCACATCCACAACACCAGAACTATATGGGGAAAGAAATCTGAGATACTATCATACTATAGATGATAGATTCTAATTTTTAAAAAGGCCACAGTTAAAGTCAAAGTTATTTAGGAGATGAATGTGTATCTGTGTATGTATGAATTATGTTTTTACGTATAAACATGAAAGACTTGAAGATGATTCAGAAAATAAACTAAAAGACCAGGGACTAGATGATATGAGTATCTTTTCTCTATGGAAAATGTGTTAAAAATGAAACTGTGGTTAAAATGAGGGGAAAGAAATCACAGCACTGAATGGCATTTATTTTTCCATAGAACTGACATAATGGAACCATGTTTTAGAAGTCTGACTTCAGCTCCTGATCAGGGGAATCATAGTTGTATACTTTATTATTAAAAGGTAGTTGACTAAAATATTACTGATAACAAGCACACTGCTAACTAAATAGAGCTGTTCCTGAGAATTACTTGCTACGGTAAGACGGTATAAAGTTGAAGAGAACAGATAAAGAAGGTCTAGTTGTGTTTTCTAATCTGTAAATGCTAAAAACTAACTTCAGTTTATTCTTGATATAAAGTCCATGTAATATCATGGTGAACTACCAACTTTAACAAAAAACTTTTTTGACGTTTTTAAAATTGGCCATCATCTCATTGTATGATGGAAGTCTACTTAAGATTATAATGTAGTCTACTTTAGATTATCTATGATCTAACATCTACAAGCCTATATAAATTATGCATTTAAAAGATGAGCTCATTTTAATTTGTAATTTATGCCTGGTGGTTCTACTTCTAGCTTTATGGTGAGCGGCTCCTGGCTAGCTTAGAGGAGCAAGCAACTCTTGATCTTGGGGTCATGAGTTCAAGCACCATGTTGAGATTATTTAAATAAATAAATAAACTTTAAAGGTGGGGGGGGCACCAAAATGAACAAGACAGTAAACAACATGTGTTGGAAAGGCTGTGGAGAAAGGGCAACCCTCTTACACTGTTGATGGGAATGCAAGTTGGTGCAGCCACTTTGGAAAACAGCCTGGAGAATCCTTAAGAAATTAAAAATAGAGCTACCCTATGACCCTGCAATTGCACTACTGGGTATTTACCTCAAAGATACAGATGGAGTGAAATGAAGGGCCATCTGTACCCCAATGCTCATAGCAGCAATGGCAACAGTTGCCAAAATGTGGAAAAAGCCAAGACATCCTTCAACAGATGAATGGATAAAGAAGACATGGTCCATATATACAATGGAGTACTATGCCTCCGTCAGAAAGGATGAATACCAACTTCTGTATCAACATGGATGGGACTGGAGGAGATTATGCTGAGTGAAATAAGTCAAGCAGAGAGAGTCAATTATCATATGGTTTCACTTACTTACGGAGCACAGGAATAATACAAAGGACATTAGAAGAAGGAAAGGAAAAGTGAATTGGGGGAAATCGGAGAGGAAGACAAACCATGAGAGACTGTGGACTCAGAAACAAACTGAGGGTTTTGGGCGGGGGGTTCGATGAGCCTGGTGGTGGGTATTATGGAGGGCACATATTGCATGGAGCACTGGGTGTGGTGCATAAACAATGAATCTTGGAACATTGAAAAAAAAAATTAAATTTTAAAAAATACAACCTAAAGAAAAGGGGGGCAGCACCTGGGTAGCTCAGCTGGTTAAGTGTCCAACTCTTGATTTCGGCTCAGGTCATGATCTCCGGGTTCTGAGATCTAGCCCCATGTTGGGCTCTGAGCTGGATGTGGAGCCTGCTTAGGATTCTTTCCCTCCCTCTCTCTCTCCCCACAGCCTGCACACACATGGTGTGTGCCGTCACTCTTACTCTCTCTCTCAAAAAAAAAAAAAAAAAAAAAAAAGAGAGAGAGAGAATCAAGCTGAAATCTATAGGCACTATAAAAATTTTAGACTTAAAAATCATATGGTAAATTCACCATGCTCTTAGCTACAACTTGACTCATTTGGATTATTCAAAGCTTACTGAAAAAATTATAGTACCGGGGCACCTGGGTGGCTCAGTTGGTTAAGCAACTGCCTTCAGCTTACATCATGATCCTAGAGTCCCGGGATCAAGGCACACTATGAGCTCCCTGCTCAGCAGGGATCCTGATTCTCCATCTTTTCCCATCTCTTCCCAGCTCAGTGCTCTCTTTCTCTCTCTCTCTCAAATAAATAAATAAAATATTTTTTTAAAAAGTGGAAAAAACTAAGAATATAAGTCTTAGAAAAGTTCTCTTTAAAGAAATTTACACGAGGTTCAATCAAGAGCCTATGTATGTGACTTCAGAGAACACCAAGTCCTCTGAAATCTTGATCCAGAAAAATAAATGGAAGGTTCCACATTTAATCATTCCCCTTTTCATACTTAATTTACCTCTTTTTGATTTTCAAGCTCTTACTCTCAATTTCTGGCTAACCAATCTGCCCTTCTCCATTTTGAAATGAACCCCACAGAGAGCCTGGTTGTTTTTATCCCCACTATGTAAATAAAAGAAATTGGCCAACAAACTAAAAACAAAATGAAACGATATAAAATCAAATATATTAGAGTTGACAAAAAAGGTATTATAATAGAGGTAGTTCCAGAGACAAGAAATCCACAGATATTGTTTGACTTCTAACAGCAATATTATTACTACTAATGAAAATAAATTCATTTCAATACTTAGTTGTAATCAGGTAACAGTTTACAAAATAGGAAAATCATTTTTTCTATATATCATAAAAGTTATGTAAGGAGAGGTGACAACAACCTAAAGAACTCTTGAGAAAGAAATTTAGAAAGGTATCTTTTCTTTCAAATTCTTCCATTGCTATTTACTTAAAACAAGTAAACAAGTCACTTAGTTAAATGAAAACAAAAGCAAGGCTGAAGTGGATCAAGGGGATTATGCCCAGCTAAAAGAAATGGGACACAGCTGAGCCAGGAACACTAAGAGGAATTAAGATGGGCTTGAGACAGCATGCTTAACAGAAAGTTCCCGAAGAGTCCTAAATTTTTAGCTAAGTACAAATAAAATCAATTTCCTTCAAATCAGAAGAAAAGGATCTTCAACCTTAAAGGAGTGGGTCCTCTCCTCAAGTTACTCCTAGCTATGTTTAGAAGCCCTGAATTCCATCTTCCTTATTAGAAAGTTGTATATACACTATAGTTGACATTGATTCATACAAAAGTGGGAACAGCCACCATCCTGAGAGGACTAAAGGAAATCTAGCTAAGTTTGGTCATGGAAGGAAATAGCAAGAGCTTTCCAATTAAACTTTAAACCTATATTTTTTAAAAAATATGCCCCAAGTACAGTGACCATATGTCCGAGCATGCCTATTTGGATATTCTCAAAATTATTTATCTTGTCCTAATGTGATTTAATAGCATCCTCTTTTACTCTCCAGTATCCTGATTTAAACCACCTATCCAGAAACAATATTCTCCAGAATCAGCTGGGGTGTTTGTTTAGAATGTAGATTCTTGGGCCTCAGCCTGGTAGAATCAAAACTTTTGGAGACTCGGCACAGTCATCTGCTTTGTTAACAGGTGTCCCAGGCAACAGTTGTGCACACTAAAATTGGTTAGAGTGCACCAGGAAAATGGTTTAAGGGAATTCTAAGTAAAGACACAACTAATCTCGGGGCATCTGAGTGGCTCAGTTGGTTAAGCATCTGCCTTCAGCTCAGGTCATGATCTTAGGGTCTCAGGATCAAGCCCCACATTGGGCTCCTTGCTCAGCAGGGAGTGTACATCTCTCTCTCCCTCTGCCTGCCACTACTTCCGCTTGTGATCCCCCTCTTTCTCTATCAAATAAATAAATAAAATCTTAAAAATTAAAAAAAAGATCCAACTAATCTCAAATAATCAGCACCTTCATTCCCAGTCATCACAAAGTAATAGTTTACAGGTCTTTATGTCCTTTTCCCAGTCTCTACTGTGACCACATGGAAACAGGAGTTTGGAATTTCTGAATGAAAAAGAGGATCTAGAGTAGTGCTTTGCAAACTACTTGTGGGAACTGCCCCACTCCAACCTCTAACCTGTCAAAACCTGTACTTTGTAAAATGCAGTAGAAATAAATCACTAGAAAAATGATCACATGCTTAGATGCTGTGCCAATGTCAAACTGCTATTTAAGTTCTTAAATGCTCAATTTCTGTACTTATTGAAGCTAATAACTGGTTATAAACTGACACGGATCCATGGACCACACTTTGCGTGTAACACTGGTTTAGATAAACATGGAGTCAGGGGAACAAGAATAGGACTAGAATTAAAATCTGAATACTATGTATGTACACATCTTCAAGCCAAAGTTTATTTTATTTCATCTAATGTACACATAAGAGGATTTTCAGCTGACTTCACTATTCACTTCACAGTGAATAATCTTTTCTAAGAACCCAAGTCTGCATCACATTCATTTCCAACTGTTTTTAATGGCACACTGGATTTTACTAACAAGAAATACAACAAAACACCATATGCAGGCAAATGAACAAGCTGAAGTTTCAGCTTCTAACATCATATACCTACTTTAAACTATGAAGTATATGAATTCTAACACAGAGTTTCAGTTCCTGCATCCTTTCAAATTATAAACCAACTACTCAACACCAAGCACTGAAGTTTCTCTTCTTTGTTTCTGAGGCTGTGTGCCACCTCTTTAAACACTCCACTTATGGTCATACTTCTAAAACAATGTCTTAGCACAATTTTTCAAATTCCAAAGAAAATGTATTTAAGTTATTCCAGACATTTTATTTGTTCAAAAAATTAAATTAGGCATTTTTAAATGAAAGAATCAAATGTCAACAGTGTCAGCACTCAATATACTGCTTTATTGGTTATATATTATATCATAATTTGGGAGGGGGGAGTGATCCCTTCATTTTTAA